TTTTGAAGAGACGCAGACGACGAGATACGCTGCGTCTCTAGCCTCTCAAATTTCAAATTGCTATATCTCGGCTCCTAGGAACCCTAAAACTCTGATTTTTTCACTGATTTTTTCCCAGTTTTCTCTACTTTTCTCCCTCCGTCTCCTTCTTCCTCAAAAAGAGAACTTTCCAGAAATCAATCTAAAAAAGCATGACCAGGTTACTGGAAAAAATACAGCGAAGTTTGTCGCATGAAATGCGATCGTACAGTTCACTAAACCCGTTATTACCATCAGAAGATCATCAGATACAGTCATTTTCGGTAAGGAAAAGCTGAAAATGCTCTTAAAATATTTTATTGGATGATATTGATCTACCCACAAAATTTGAAGCGATTTGGGCAACGGGGAGCCGAGATACAGTCACTCAAAGTTTTGATCTACGCGGCGCGGTCGCGTCGCGGTCGGCGCAAAACATTTTTGAAGGGGTGTAACTTGGCTCAAAGTGGGCCTAGCGGCTTGAAATTTTGGGAATCAATACAAAATTGTGTTCTGCATGTTTCTACTGATTTTGAAAACGTTTGGTCTATTTTGAGCTGGATTACAGGCCCTAGAAGAGGCGCAGACAGGTAGAGTGTCTCGTTGTCTGCGTCTCTGGTGCAAGAGACTTGAAACTTTGAATAATAATAAAAAATTGAAAATTTGTATTCCCGCCAAATCAAAAACAAAAAAACCTTTTATCAATCATAACATTATGACTCGAGCTATGTACGAAAATTTTGTATCTCTTCTTTCTGACTTTTTTTTCTCAAAGGTTCTCTGTATTCTTTTAGAATTCAAAAGATCCAGATGACTCTGGAATTTCAGAAAAATAAAAAAGTTTATAGAATTTTGAATAATCAAAATTCTCTAGCGTTTTCTGTGCAATCAGAGGTAAGTGATTTTTGGATTTTAGCAAAAATTGAAACGATTCTCTGGGTCAAAATCAATCAATTTTTTCTCAGAATGGCGTATCTCTCGAGGAGGGAAAACAAGCGACGTCTTCATTGTTGCGCGACACCGGTCAATCGTCACGAAGCCATCGGCCGCCGAAGGAGGCGACGACGAGCCACGGCAGCAGCTCGAAAGGCTGTCTGCTGCTCACCACACTTGTCGTTTTTCTATTCGTAACGCTCAGCTTCGCCATCGCCACTTTTCTCTACTATCAAACTTTACGTGAGTTTTTGAGTTTGAAAAATTCCGAAAAAATTGAGTTTCTAGCATAAATTTGAGCTGAGCTACTGCTCTTTGACGTCTGCGTCTCACAAAACTCCATATCAAAATGTATTCGAAAAGATCAGAAATTCAAAAAAAAAAATCGAAAATCAAAATCTCTGGTTCACTAGCCAAGATACATGCGTTTAGAGTTTTGGAGAGACGCAGACAACGAGACACGCTGCGTCTCTAACCTTTTTGAAGAGGCGCAGACAGCTAAAGCGTCTAAACTTCTGAAGGCTATATCTTGGCTTTTAGAGAAGCTAGAAGTTTGATTTTTTGACGAAAATGAAGTTCAGAAAGGCATTTTTAGAACCAAAATATGGGGAAAGGGCGAAAATTTCAAAAATTTCAAAAATGCAAAAAAAAATTGTTTTTGCTAATTTCAAAATGTAATCACAAATTAGACAAATTTTCCTTCAATTCCATCCAAAAACCAACTTTCTAGCTCTTCTACGAGCCGAGTTATAGCGATTTGAAGTTTTGAAGGTAAGAGACGCAGACAACGAGACACGCTGCGTCTCTAACCTTTTTGAAGAGGCGCAGACAGTTGAGACTTTAAACACGCGTATCTCGGCTTTCAGATGAGCTAGAGAGTTGATTTTTGGACCAAAATGAAGGTCCAGCTGAGAAATTTGAACTGGGAAATTTGATAATGTTGATTTTGAGTGAAAATGAATATTGCAAATTTAGAATTGCGAGTTTCAGAACAACTGGTGCTTTTGGATTAAACCTGAAATTTAAGAAAAAAAAATGGTTAAAAAACCTAGTTTCTAGTACTTCCATAAGCTGAGTTACAGCGATTTGAAATTTGGAGAGACGCAGACGACGAGACACGCTGCGTCTGTAACCCTAACATTCTAAACCGCTGTATCTCGACTCCTAGATGAGCTAGAAACTTGGTTTTTAAGCCAAGTTGCTTCTAGAAATGTAAAGAATTTGTTGATCAAAAATCGAATTTCAATTTTTTCTAAAAGCCAGGAAACAGCTGTTTAAAGTTTGCAAGGTTAGAGATGCAGCGTGTCTCGTTGTCTGCGTCTCTAACCTTTCTAAAACTTCAAAGGCTCTAGCTCTACTGAAAGCCGAGATACAGTCGATTCAAGTTCAGGAGGTTAGAGACGCAGACGACAAGACACACTGTGTCTCTGACCTCCTGAATTCCAAATGACTTTATCTAGGCACTCAGGAAAGCTAGAAACTTGATTTTTGAATCTACTGAGAGCTTCGAAACAGATCAATCTGAAAAAATGTTATTTTTGAGAGAAACAATTCAAAGTTCTGAAATCCTAAATTCTCAAAAATAGGATTCTGAGATTCTGAGAATTGCTCAATTCTGAATATGATTCAAAAACTCAACAATGTTTTCAGCCTGCACATCAGAGAAGTGCGTAATGACAGCGGCACGCCTTCTGAAACGGGTCGATCAGTCCGTCGAGCCATGCGACGACTTCTATCAATTCGCGTGTGGCGGATGGATCAATCAGTCGGTGAATCTCAAATATGACTCGTGGAATACACTCTATGAAACGCAACGAACGGCTCATGATCAGATTGTGCAGGCCATGCATCGGAGTGAGTTATTTTTTGAAACTTAAAAATTTTTTCAGAAATTCGAAATTCTGAACTTTCCAGTAAATGACGGATCCTATACCTTGCCTACAAATGACGGAGAACGAGCGGCCGCGAAAATGTATGAGCAATGTATGGATACCGATACTCTGGAACAAACCGGACTAACACTTTGGGAGCGATTTGTCGATGAGCTCGGCGGATGGATGCCAGAGCTCAAAAATGGATTTTTGGAACAAGAAGAGAGTTTTGAAATTGAGCTCGATGAGGACGAGAAGAAGCGGCGGCGATTCGAAATCGAGGATATCATTCTGAGTGCCTTCAATTATTCGGTTTTCCCATTGTTTTGGGCGGGCGTCGAGGTCAATTATTTGGATTCTAAGCAGCATTTGATTACGGTAGGTTTTTTTTTCTGAAAATTTAGTACAAGGTATTTTTCCCAACTTTTTGATAGCTACAAAACTAAACGAGATGTAAGCGCTCAAAGTTTTGGACCTGAAAACACAGAAGAACGAGAGTGCTGTGTTTAAAGGCGCATATCTCAAAACCTAAAAGAGCTATCAAAAAGCTGTAAACTGCAAAAATGTAGAGCACAAAATTTTACACAATTATCTGTTTTAAAACTGTTTGATAGCTGTATAACGAAACGAGATATGCGGCTTGAGAGAAAGACGCAGAGAAGCAAGAGCGCTCTCGCTTCTTTGCGTCTCCTCTAGGTACTGAATTTCAAACTTTCATATCTCTGCTAGTTTCATAGATATCTAAATTTGGATAACTAGAGAAATGTGTAAAATGTTATGCTCAATATGTTTGCAGTTGACAAATTTTTGATAGCTAGGCTAGTTTTTGAGATATGCGCCTTAAAAAACAGCCGACCCGGGGTGAATTTCAAAGGATTTTATCTCCACCAGTTTCACAGGCCTCAAAAAATATTCAACCACAAAAATGTAGAAAATTTAATGCTCTACAATTTCACAATTTACATCATTTTTATAGCTCTTTTAGTTTTGGAGATATGCGCCTTTAAAGCCAAGAGGAGACCCAGAGAAGCGAGAGTGTTCTCGTTTCTCTGCGTCTCACTTTCAACTTCAAAGACGCGTATCTCACTTAATTTTATAGCTATCGAAAAGTTCTCAATTGCAAAAATAAAGATCGTGTCTTGTTTAGTATAGTCTCAAAATTTCAAACAATTTCAAAAAGATCTATATACTTTTGTAGGCAGTTTTTCAAAGTGTGTCAAAATTTCAGATCTACGAGCAACTTCCAATCCTACTATCTCCTGAAAAATATCATTATGACAAAGAACTGACTCCAGAGATGATTTTCGGAAAGCTGGAGGGTCCACCAGTGACTCGGGCCCTTCAACAAGTCGGCGAGGAGCTCGCAGCGGTTTTGGGATTCGATTCGACGGATGAGAAAGTTCGAATGATGATTGCGAATATGATCTACCTCGAGTACCAGATTACCATTGCTGGTTCTACAGTAAGACTTTTGAATTTTGCGATTTCTCATTTTACATTGCCCGAGCTCCAATTTTGTCTAAAAATCAACTTTCTAGCTCTTCTGAGAGCCGAGATACAGGCGATTGAAATTTCCACTGTCTGCGTCTTGCCGACGGTTAGAGACGCAGTGTGTCTCGCCGTCTGCGTCTCTCCCGAAACTTCAAATTGCTGTATCTCGGCTTGTAGAAGGGCTGGGAACGTGGTTCTTTTTGTATTTTGTATATTGTTGAACTTCCTATCTTCTCCAAGATATTCGAGTTCAGAATTCGGATCTCTTGATAGCTTACAAGAAGAGACATGGAGTTTTGAGAGGCGCAACCACACACTTCTTTGTAATTTTAGAATTTTTCACATTTTCCAATATTTCTTTTTCGCAGTTCTACAAGGAGAAAAAAGAGCGCTACACGGTTGTTCAACTGCGGGAACTACAGGAAATCGCGCCAGCGGTGAGTTTGACCTCAAATCCAAAAAATAATCGATTACCGATTTTTTTTCCAGATCAACTGGCACTATTTCCTGTCCCGTCTCGTCGGTGAGAACCTATCCTTCTCCGAGCCCATCGCTCTCAAAACGGGTACCCAATGGATTCCAATTCTCTCATCGATCGTCCAAAAACTAAAAGAGTCTCGATCCGGCGTGGCGGTGCTCAAAAACTATGTGAAATGGAAGACGATCATGTTCCATTTGGCATACGCCACACCCAAATGTAAAGATGGACTACTGTGGATGGCGGTGTCGCTATATTCCGGTGCTGCGAGTCAACGAAAAGAGTTCTGTGTGCTCAGGCTGTCCGGAATATTCCCATTGTCGTTGCCGTCGATTTTAAGGAAGATTGATGGCATCGATCATACTGAGAAGGTTAGATTTTGGTGTTTTTAGATGGATATGACTAAATAAACTTCACTAAGAACAAAAAACATCAAGTTTCTAGCTCTACTGAAAGCCGAGATACAGTCGTTTCAAGTTCAGGAGGTTAGAGACGCAGACGACAAGACACACTGTGTCTCTGACCTCCTGAATTCCAAATGACTTTATCTAGGCACTCAGGAAAGCTAGAAACTTGATTTTTGAATCTACTGAGAGCTTCGAAACAGATCAATCTGAAAAAATGTTATTTTTTTAGAGAAACAATTCAAAGTTCTGAAATCCTAAATTCTCAAAAACAGGATTCTGAGATTCTGAGAGTTTTGAAGCATCGAAAATCTGAATTTCGTACACAATCTCCGATGTTACATAGCCTGAGCTTCAACCTGGTCTAAAAATCAACGTTCTAGCGCTTCTAGAAGCCGAGACACAGCCATTTGACGTTTAGGAGGCTAGAGACGCCAGACGACGAGACACACTGCGTCTCTAGCCCCGAAATTTCGAATGGTCATATCTCGGGTTCTAGGAAAGGTTGGAACTTGATTTTTGGACCATAGTAAAGCTCAGAAACTAGAGAATATGGTAATGTTTGATTTTAAAAAATCAACATAAAAAACTATGAAATGCAAAATTCTCAAATTTGAATGTTATAGGTTTTTGAAGTTCAAACCTTTTCACATTTTCCAATTCCCCATTACCTGAGCTCCATTGTCGTTCAAAAATCACTTTTCTAGCTCTTCTGGAAATCGAGATATAGCCATTTGAAGTTTCCACTGTCTGCGTCTCCCCGACGGTTAGAGACGCAGTGTGTCTCGTAGTCTGCGTCTCTCCTAAACTTTAAATGCCTATATCTCAGCTCCTAGATGTGCTAGAAACTCGGTTCTTTTTGTATTTTTACGCATTTTTCTAGCCTAATCTTCTTGAAAAACTTTCAGAACGTGAAAGCGGTTCAAAACATTGCCGATCGAATACAAGAAAAGTACTCAGAGATGGTGCAATCAAGTAATCTATTTTCGGATCCGGAAACTCGTAAAAATGTGGTGGATAAAGTGGAAAATATGACCAAATTTATTGGGTATCCGGACGCAATGCGAAGTGACTTTGAGATGAAAAAAGAAGCCGTGCGACTTCATGATTCGCTGTTCTGGTGTATGGTTTTGGGATCGTCGTCTGTCTATAAAGAACGCCTTCAACGGCTACGTCTTCCGGTGAATCCGAGGGATTGGGTGGATACGAGACCGGCGATTTCCGTACCAGCACACAATTATGAGCGAAATTTGATACAGATTCCTTTCGATTCGTTGAGACTACCGTATTCCGATGAGCATCAAATGGAGTGAGTTGTTCCGAAATTCTGAAATTTTCTGAGATTCTGAGATTCGGAAATTCTGAAATTTCTTGAAATTTCTGAAATTCTGAAATTCTGATATTCTGAGATTCTGAAATTCCAAGATTCTGAGATTCTGAAATTCTGAAATTTCTTTAAAATTCTGAAATTCTGAAATTCCGAAATTCTGAGAGATTCTGAAATTCTGAGATTCTAAAATTCTGAAATTTCTTAAAAATTCTGAAATTCTGAAATTCTGAGATTCTGAAATTCTGAAATTCTGAACTTTCTTTAAAATTCTGAAATTCTGAGATTCTGAGATTCTGAATTTTTGCAGTTTCGCCAATTATGCCGGTATTGGGACAATCATTGGTCACGAGTTCACACATGCTTTCGATGGACAAGGTGCGTTGATTTTTCTGAAAAATAATAGTCTGAAATTTTAAGAATTTTTTGAAAATTCAAGAAAAAAATTTTTTTCTTGAAAATTCCGGTCCCCATTTTCCCAATAGTTTTCTAGAACTTCTTTTCTCAACTACTATTCTAAATGAGCTAACGAAAGCGAGCTCCTAGGCTCCCCCTTCTCATTAGTGACCACTCTTCTCTTTCTCGGTCTTCTCTAACCACTCTCTCCTTTCCCCCTACTCTCTCACTTTTCTTGTTTACGCTGAGCAATCCCCAGTGGTCATCTGAATCGCCATTACTAGAAAAAAATGAGGGTAATTGGAATAGGATTTTTGACTAATTGGAATGCTGAAAATACCCTTTTTTACACTTCATCTGAAAATTCTGAAGACGCTCAGACTTCTGAATTTGGATGACGTGGTGATGGGAAGAGTAATTCTTGTCTGCGAAAAACAAAAAAATAAATGATGTCATTTGAATTCTGAATTCTAAGAATTCAGAAATTTTTCTGGAAGTGAAAAACAGGACTTGTTTTAATTGGAAATTGGAATTTTTTATTAAGAATTTGTGAATTTCGGAGAGATGAGGGATCGAAAACGTTTTCTAAGATTTCGAAACATGAGAACAAAAAAAAATCAAAAGTTCCACAAAATATTAAGAAATCTGAAATTTTTGAAAAAGAACTGAGTTTCTAGCTTTCCTAAAAGCCGAGACACACCCTTTGGAAGTTTTGGAGGCCAGAGACGCCAGACGACGAGACACACTGTGTCTCTGACCTCCTGAATTTCAATTGACTTCATCTAGGCTCCCAGTAAAGCTAAAAACAGATTAATTTGAAAAATTGTTATTTTTGAAAAAAAACAATTCAAAGTTCTGAAATCCTAAATTCTCAAAAATAGGATTCTGAGATTCTGAGAATTTTGAATCATTGAAAATCTGAATTTCGTACACAATTTCCGATGTTACATAGCCTGAGCTTCAACCTGGTCTAAAAATCAACGTTCTAGCGCTTCTAGAAGCCGAGATACAGCCATTTGAAGTTTTGGAGGCTAGAGACGTCAGACGACGAGACACACTGCGTTTCTAACCCCGAAATTTCGAATGGTCATATCTCGGGTTCTAGGAAAGCTTGGAACTTGATTTTTGGACCATAGTAAAGCTTAGAAACTGGAGAATATGGTAATTCTAGACCATCTAAACTGAAAAATCTGATAATACATTCTAACTTCTCAATACAAAAAAACTTCGAATTCAGAAAAATTGTCGAAATTCCAAATTTTTTGCAATAAGCGAGAACTTTAATTATTCTAATTTCCCAGTTCTCGAGCTTCAATTCAATGCAGAAATCAACTTTCTAGCTGTTCTAGGAGCCGAGATACAGACGATTGAAATTTCCACTGTCTGCGTCTCGCCGACGGTTAGAGAAGCAGTGTGTCTCGCCGTCTGCGTCTCTCCCGAAACTTCAAATTGCTGTATCTCGGCTTGTAGAAGGGCTGGGAACGTGGTTCTTTTTGTATTTTGTATATTGTTGAACTTCCTATCTTCTCCAAGATATTCGAGTTCAGAATTCGGATCTCTTGATAGCTTACAAGAAGAGACATGGAAGTTTAGACGCTCTAGCTGTCTAATTTAGAATCTCAATCCTTAGGTATCTTAAAAATCAAAAAATGGGATTTTTGAGAGACTCAGCCATTTCTCTGCTCGAATCCCTCCCTCTCGCCAAATTTTAAACAATTTTAATTCGGCTTTTAGAAATGCTAGAAGCTTGGCTCTTTGTGAGTTTTGCGAATTTTTATTTTAAAAAATGAGAATTTCAGAGAAATGAAGAAAACATAATTAAAAAATCCGAATTTCATAATAACTCCAAAATTCTAATTTTTCAGGCAAACTTCACGGACCAACTGGAAATCTGGGTGTTTGGTGGAGTCAGGATTCTCAGAGAAAATTCAAAACTCGTGAGCAATGTTTCATCAAACAGTACGCCGGATTGATGGATTCGCATGATGTAACTTTTTTTTTAATTCAGAATTTTCTAAAAACTGTGTTTTTTCAGATGAACGCCGCCAAAGAAGGCCTCTACGAGAATATTGCCGATCATGTGGGACTGAAAGTGGCTTATGAGGTAGATTTTTTGTTTGAAAATTTTAAGAAATGTCAAAACATAGAAGAGAGAAATTGATTTCAGCCAACAACCACATTTCTAGCTTTCCTAGAAGCCGAGATACAGCCATTTGAAGTTTTG